CACCAGTGTAGAAGTTAGTTAAGGGACTACGACAAACCATCAGTGTAGAAGTTAATTAAGGGACTACGACAAACCATCAGTGTAGAAGTTAGTTAAGGGACTACGACAAACCACCAGTGTTGAAGTTAGTTAAGGGACTACGACAAACCATCGGTGTTGAAGTTAGTTAAGGTACTACGACAACCCATCAGTGTAGAAGTTAGTTAAGGGACTACGACAAACCATCAGTGTTGAAGTTAGTTATCTTAGCTAAACTTACATGACGCCTTGAGAAGCTAAGGTTTAGTAGCTCAGAAAAGAAAGTCATCAGAACAAGGATAAAACAATTTTTCCCGACTTTAAAATGATCAGTCAGAAAAATGATATACGCATTGTATTTCAAAACAATATGTGTAAAATATCGAAGGTGTAAAAACAAGCTGCTTGGCTATATATGTAGAATATTATTGTTTTACATGCTGTAAAACAGCATCTTCATGCATTTGACGATAAGAAGAGAGGATGAGACACGCAGAGAACTTTTACTGTTACATCAGGGCGTTCTTCTACTTCTATTTCCAAATCACTTCAGTTTTGTTTTTTAGACAAGCTTTATCGCTGAAAACAATTGTGAGAAAAACAACAACACTTCATCTAAAAGACACTTCACATCGTGGCTATACCACGGACGCAAACTGACATCCAGTAACGTATTGCAATAGTAACTGAACATACGCGTATTCTGTGTTTTCTTATCATAAATTTTCTAATTATAACAGTCTTATCAAGACAGTCATACTCGGAGCCAATTTTTTCATCCGTATCCAAGTGACTAGGAGCGGGTGTCCACAGCTGGTGAATGAATGCTATTGTAAGCAGTACTGCATGAACCAGTGATACTTTGTTGAAAATTGAATCATTGCAGCTGCAACAAATAAAGTTCCGTTCAATACTGCACGTGTTCAACGGCTGTTCTCAGTGTACATGGGAATATAACACAGAATAACTTAGCAGCCTACAATAATGGCTGGAGACGGCTTAAATGGGTAATGAAGAAAAACTTTAACATGACAGCAAATGTACAACGTTTCGACAAGGTTTTGTCATCATCAAAGATGATGACAAAACCTTGTCG